TTTGAACAAGGCCAGCACACTCAAAACCCCAGTCACGATGACTTGTGACTTTGTGCTAGCACAGCTATTGATGGCTTCCAATTTCACTCACCAGGCTTGGGTCAACCCGTGGTATGGTTTTCAGGCACTTTCCAAAGAAACCACATGATGGGATTGACCACTCCAATCTGATAACATCAAGAAGTTTCCATCATGACAAATCGACCATGGTTAGATTTGAACCTGGGTCTCTTGGTCAGAAAGCAAACATTCTAACCACTCAGCCATGAGTAATAATATATATATATATATATATATATATATATATATATATATATATATATATATATATACACACACACACAGTTTGTGAATGTATAATCATTAATAGCTTGGAAAGAGAAATCTGTGTTGAGTTCAAACTCTGGCCAAGTCCATTAATTCATTTCTCACAAATGTCCTTGGGAAAGGATATGAATCCATCTCTTCTCACCATAAGTATGGCTTAATTAGCTCTCCATCCTTATATGCCAGCCAGTCTAGGAGATGGCAAACTCTCAATTCTAACCCCAGAAGGGCTGTTTGTAGATTTCATGGCACACTGTTCGCCATTTCTCTGCTGTCAGTTCTTTCAAAAGTGTCGCTGGTTCTGTACAACCTTTTACCATTTTAAGCAAATCATATGTGCAGCTGGTCTAGTGGTTCAGTCCTAAAAAATTAACTGTCCATCAATCATACGTAAAAATTAACTGGTGTGTTCACTATATGTAGTTTATACTTAGAACTGAGCACTTTAGCTTTCATTTTTGTCTCAAATCCAACAGGTCCAATCTCAAATGCTCAAAACATGTCCTTGTAGCAATATTTAGGGCTATAATATTTTATAGAAACAATTTTTGAGGTTTCAAAACTTTAAATGACAGAAAAAGGTTCAGGAATATGCATATCAGATAAGTTAAAAATTTAATTTTTAGGAATAGTTTAAGTTAGTTAAGTGCTGTACCTGACAACACGCTTAGGCAATAATATTTCTTTTGATTCATGATTAACTAGGTAGAAGATTTTCTTGCAGAAAGGTTACCATTTCTTTTGAGACTTTTGGTTTATCAAAATAAAAAAAAAGTTTCCAGATTTTTGTTTCTTTCAAAATTTCAAGCAATTTTTGTTTATTTTCCACAGATTAATTATTTAAGTTAACTTTTTAAATGGTAGGAAAATGTTGCATGAATGCACATACCAAAGAGGTAAAAAAATTAGAAAATTATTTTTTTAATGTATAGTTTTCTTTTTATTCTTACTTTAATTATACACAAAAACTTTAAAAATGATATTTTAATTCTTTTAGATTAAAAAAAAAAGAAAAAACAGGAAATAAAACAACTGTTTGGTTCCCAATTTGAATATTTGTTAACAGTTTGATACTCTGTCTAAATTTCTGGGATAAGCAGCCATCATTATTTAGACTATTTACATTCAGATTATTGTCCTCATCTGATTTAAATAACTAGGATACTCCTTGAAGCATTCTATGCAAAATAGAGGTGCACCTTCATTGCACCAAATTGTCACCATTTTTTCACCACTTTTCTCTTCTAGAAGTCTGTATGTAAACATAGCACTGTCTTTGGTTTGTTCTTCCAACTTTATTTGCAGGTAAAAATTCCAGGGAATGTTGTAATCCTAGACTTGCCAATTAATCATTTCAACTTGAATGATGAATGAATTATGTCTGTATCAGTGAAAAAAAGTTTAAATCATCAACTGATGATACTTGCTGATTGTCGATGAAATATCAACTGATGATGCCTACCATTCAAGGGTTAATGGTGTCATTTCTTTTTTGTTTTTCCAAAATTTCAAGCTATTTTTGTTTATTTTCCACAGATTAATTATTTAAGCTAACTTTTTAAATGGCAAGAAGATGTTGTATGAATACACATTCCAAACAAGTAAAAAATTAATTTTTTTAGAAGCTATACTTGTCAATTAATCATTTTAATTCAAATCCTGAACTAATAAAGCTGGTATCATTGGAAAAAGTTTAAATCATCAATTGATGATATTCATTGATCTCCAGTGAAACATCAATTGATGATGCCTTCCATTTAAGGATTAAGAATAGCATGAAATCATATTGTAAATTACTATTGAAAAAGAACGAAGTAATGTATTTCCCTATTAAGCAGCTAGCTTTTTCATCAACTCTTATCAAAGAGGATCATTGATAAAAGTTAAAAGATCTTAAAGCAAAATTATCAAATGCCTTATCAATCACCTCTTTAAAAAAAAAATAAATAGACGAGAGACAAATAGTAAACCAATTTTAAATAATACCAAGCAGTTTTAGGAAGCAGAGAAAATCATTTTGTTTACAAAGAGATGGTTTTTGTCTAGAAATAAAAAGAAATTCAATAATCTTCAAATGAAATGACAACCATGCAACATTTAGAATTTTGAAACAATCATTTGAAAAAGTTTTGTCACAGACTGGATAATCAGTGAAATATTGACCAATCGCTGAATCTGAAATCTTCTAAATATGGATAGTTTTATTGTTTAATCTCTTAAACCCATCAGCAATCAAAAAGCTAGCCACTTAAAAGGACTTCTGATATGTATCACTTATGACTACTTTGACTAGTTTTCTTCTTCTATGTGCCATGTTTCTTCAGGATATTGGCAATCATGGCTCTCCACAATTTCCTGCCTTTTGTAGCTCTTTTTAAATTTTGCCATTTTGTTATCTCTCCTAAACCCTGTTCCACCTTCCATTTATTCAAGCTCAGGGGTTATGTGTTGTTTTCCTCTGTCCTTTTTGCTTTCAATCTGTCCTATGAGTATCAGATTTTCCAAACACTCTTTTCTCATTATGTGCCCTAGAAATTCCAACTCTCATATTAAGTATAAGTGTCCTTTTGTTTCAATTTTCTTTAAAACTTACTTGTTACTTACATGTTCAGTCAATCATATTCTCAGCATCCTTCTGTTGAAACACTGTTCTTTCGCCTTAAGTATTTTTCTGTATCTGTGCAGAGATTGCCCAATATTTACTGCCATATAGGAGAACTGATATTACATAACAGTCCAGTACTCTTTTCTTTGTTTCTAATAAGCTTTTCCTGTTTTTTAATACTTTGCTTAGATTTGGAAGGCATTTTCACTATCCCAATGCACCTTTAGATTTCAGTGTCACATTTTCTGTTCTCTCTTAAAACACTTCTCAGATATTTAAATTGAAATAATTGTTTGATTTTGGTATCTCCAATTTGTAATTTGCATGTTATGCTGTCCCTTTTGCTAACAACCATGCATTCTATCTTCTTGCAACTGATATTTAATCCTTTCTTTTTGATTTTTTTTCTTCCTTTTGCAGGAATTTTTGTAGTTTCCTTTCTGTGTCTGCTATCAACACTCTGTCATATTGTTAAGATTGTGGCTGCCAATAATGAAGTAGGACTTCTAGTTCTCTCAGAATCGCCTCACTGTAAAGGTTGAAAAAGTCTGGTGAGAAGACACATCCTTGTCTTACACCTCTTTCTATATTTGTATATTTACTGTATTCATTTTCTGGCTGAATGCAGACAGTTTTCTCACAGTATAGGTTCTGGATTATTCTAATATTCTATTATTCTAATATCCTTCTCAAATACAAGGTCTGTCTGAAAAGTAACAGGACTGGTATCGCAAACAATTTATTTCAATTCCAAACAACAAACTACATGGTTTCTCCTTCAAAGTAATCCCTCTTGATTCTAATGCACTTTTGCATTCTTCTGTGTCACACTTCTATACACTGCAGGAAAGATTCTTCTTTGATGCCCCTTAGCTCCGTCATTACGGTCTTCTTGACGGCCTCCATGCCTTCAAAACAAGTCCCCTTGATGATCCCCTTGCAGTTAGAGAAAAGAAGAAAGTGACAGGGAGCAAGATCAAATGAACAGGGAAATTGTTCCGGTACAGGGATGTTCTTCTCAATCAGGAACTGCCAGATGCTCAGGCCTGATGAAACAACCACGATTTGTCCTGCCACAAATCTCAAATGTGAAAAAAAAAATGCAATGGTTTCAGAAAGCTAAGTTTATGCCTACATACTCCCAAGATATTATGTTAAATGATAACACAATCTGCTTATCCCTCTTTTGACAAGAGCTCACACAGCACATTGAAGTAGTTAAAAATGTCTTCCAAAAGTTAAAAAAAACAGGAAAATTTTGATACAAACAAAACAAAAATTGCTTAACTTCTATGTTGTGTCAATTCTCCTGTATGGCAGGGAATGCTGGATAATTTCCTCACAGATAAAGAGGAGACAAGGCAACAGGGATGTAGCTTTACATAAGGATGCTGAGAATATCATGGTTGGAGCATGTAAGCAGCAAGAAAGTTTTAAGAAAAATAGAAACAAAACTGACACTTAGATTCAGAAAGACAGATGAAATATCTGTGACAAATAATGAGGAAAAGGGCTTGGAGAATTTGACACTCACAGACCTACTAAAGGCAAAGGAGGCAGAAGGAAACTGATAACTTACTTAATGAGCTTGTGTAAATGGAACGGCAAAAGAGGGAAAGGAAGGTACAGTATGAGAACAAACACTACCAAGAGCTACAAAAAACAGGAAGTTGTGGAGAGCTTCGATCTCATATGATTTGATAGAAAACAGCACATAAAAGAAGAAAGTAGAACATTTTCAGTTTAACTTGATCTTTAAAATTCAACATCACTTATTTTTTTTTTTAAATGCCTCCATATGTTACATTGATTTTTTTTTTTATGGATTAACAATCTTTTGCAGGTTATTTAAAGCCCCAAAATATATTTAGATTGCAAGAATTTTTTTTTTAGATAATAATGATTTACTGATGCAAGTCTGACTAATTAATCCATAACTGGGGAGAAGAGATGGATTCATACCTTTCCCAAGGGTATTTGAAAATAACAAACTTGAGTGGAATTGAGACTCAGCTTTTCAATATCTAATTCCGAGCCATTACCCATTACACCACCTGCACATCCAAATTTGCAGCACCTGATATTCCCAAGCTGTCTCCTATCTAGGTACTGATCAGGCTAGATGTTGCTTAAATTCAGTGATCGTACGGGAACCAATGTTTCAACATGATATGGTCGTAAGCCCTCCTTATAGTACATCATTAATTTTGGTCGAAACTGACATTGTTAAATATTTCTTGATTTTCATTTGCTATTGCTTGGGATGTTTTGTCTTTCCTAATTTTTACTTTATTTGTAGAGAAAGCAAATCTTTCAAACATGTATTTAAAAATGATCACCTTCATGCATCATGACTTTTCTTTCCCTCCTTATTGCAAACAATTTCTGTATTGTGAAAATTAAATCCATATCATATCTTCTCCCCAAAATAGATTTTGCCCCAACAGCAATTTCATCAAGTGACAAAGAATCATGAGGTTTAAAGTTGCTTAAGGATAGACATGTTTGTTTTCATTGTTTTCTCTCTCTCTCTCACACACAAATACACAAAACATTAACTATAAATGTTTAACATGGACTGCAGTATTTCAATTCTTGGGAAACTGCTTTCAAATAAAAGATACCTGAAGCACACTAAATCAGATTATGGTTTCCCTACAAATTTTTGGTTGCATGTTCAAACCCAGCCAGAGAGCACATTTTCTTTATTAAGTTCTCTGAAATGAGAAGGTTGAATGTCTAAGTGGAACTTATCTATACGATCCACTGCTAAAGATGCTGATAGAATGGTCATCTCCTAATAAAATGGTTGTCTGCTTATAAATGGTCCTCTCTTTATACCATTCCTGACTCTTCATGTTATGCTCTATTTTTACAAGAGTCTGATCAGACCAAAAATGGAGTATTACTACCATATCTGGAGCTGCACAATCCTCTCTTTCTAGCATTGACAGAGATAAAAAAAAAAAAGCATTTACATGACCTAGTGGATAATGAATTATTTTCCACCCTACATCCTCTTACCCACAGACAAAACTTTCCAAATCTCTCACTATTCTATCACTATTTCTATGGAAAATGTTCAGACAAGTTACATTCCTTGGTTTTACCAGTTCAGACCTTTACAGCTAAAACCTACCATGCTACATACACAGAGTAGAATCTTATTCAGTCTCTTTGTATTCCATTGGTAAGTTTCATTTGGACAGCTTTTTCCCAAGTGGTTGCTTCTCTGATCACCACAATATTAATCTCTTCAAGTTTAAGTGAAACAGTTATCTATCCTACATATCCTCATAATCTGAACTTCTTACCTTCCCCCTCTTGTCCATAGAACAGCCTCTTTTGGTGATAATTTACCTTAAGTGGCTCTTGGGCCTTGTATTGGTTAAAGTGTAATGTAAAAAAAATGCCATTTTGGCAACTATGTTATTTTCTCCAAACACTAATTACCAACACCTGAACACAGCAAAATTAGCACTGTTTTGGTTTTCAAAAATAGAAATCTTTTATTTTTAACTTTTTTCTTTTTTTCAAATGATCAAGTTGTCACGAAATAATTTTGTTTTGCAAATCTTTTGAAAATTTGAAATGCAGTTTTTGAGTTTTGTCATTGACTTGCGTTACAGAATAAAAGTAAAGTTAAAAAAATAAACGCAAACACACCCACTCACTATTCTCCATCGAACAATACAAAAATCTGAAAGCACCTTGTCTTTTAAAAAATATTTTTTTTTCTTCTAGCTCACCATCAACCAATAATGTGGGGGTGGAGGTTGATACAAATTTCTTTTTCATTTGAACATTCATTTCCCTTTTTCTCTTCTCTTTTTTTCTTCTTTTCCTTCCTCTAAATTTCCTTTTCTGTTTCCACCATATTTAATTCTTACATCCCCACCTCCATATACTGTCATTTCTTTCAAACTCTTTCTGGATCTTTCTTTATTACATTTGTCAAAACATTTCTCAAAGTTAGAATTACTTAAAACCATAATTGACTCTTACATACATAGATATATATAATTTTGCATTTATATCAATGTTTATATACTCACTCTCTCTCTCACACACACACGCACACACACATAGATAGATCAAATTTTCCTTATCTGTCACATTCAATGAAATTTGTTTGAAAGAAAGGTTGCTGCCCAAACATACTTGATAGATAGATAGATAGATAATTGGCTACTTGTATCCAAGGATGCACATCTACTAGAGCAGCTAGCTAATCCCTGTTGCAGATGCCTGCTCAGGCACATTTGTGTTTGTTCAAAGCCCACAAATCCCACCTATGGTTTATACTGCAACTATACTGAGCAGACCCAAGTTACAGTTTCTGAGAAAGTGTGCATTATCTAGTGTGACCAACAGTCTGAACAAGGCCAGCATACTCAAACCCTCGGTTATGATGACTTGTGACTTTGTGCTAGCACAACCATTGCCAGCTCCCAAAGGGTTCAGTCTACCCAATTTCAGTAACAAGGTTTGGGTCAACCCATGGTATGGTTTTCAGGCACTTTTCAAAGGCACACTGAGATCACCCCCCACTCCAGACTGATAACATCAAGAAGTTACCTTCCTGACAAATCAACCAAGGTGAGTTTTGAACCCAGGTCTCATGGTGAGAAAGCAAACATTCTAACTACTCAGCCACATGCCCATTAGAGAGAGACTCAGCTACTTTTGTCAATGAAGCAAGGTTGAATAGTGCTATAAAACAAAATCTTTCTCATTAAAGATTCTCAAAATTTTATATGAGCTCAGTTTCGTACCCAGACGTAAACAAAGTAATTTTCTAAAGTCATGAATTTTTTCATTTATTAATCCAACAGATTTTATTACTTGAAGCATTATTTTAGTGGATACTCATATTTAAATAGACGCTTCATTTGTTCTATTAAACACTACATTTATGGCTAATGGAGTGGCCAAAAACACTTAGGACAATATGGACAATTTTGGCACTCCCTTACTCCCACCAAACAAAATATGTAAGAATGCTAGAAAAACTAAATAAAAAATTAATTAAATATTCCTTGTCTGTCATATTCAATGAAAAAGAAAAGTTGCTGCCCAAATATAAAAATTAAGAGTTCAGTAACTTTGAGCTCAAAGTTTTATAGAGATAGATTTTCACATCAGGAGTAGGATAGAATATTTGTTATTTTATATAAAAGGTTAATAGTCAGAGTTGAATCAGACAAGGAAACAGTAGTATTAAAAAGTGCTCAATACACACATGAAAAAATAAAATAAAAATAACCTGTAGAGCTTTTAACTAAAAATCAGAAGATCAGTTGAATCCACTACCTTGGTTTCAACCTTATGGTATCTTCAAGCAATTCTTATCAAATAACAACCTCTTAATGCTTTTTTTTTTTTTTTTACTAATGACCGCTATATTATTTAAAAAAACAAAAAAACAAAGAAAAAACAAATGCATGACATTGGGTGTAATAGAAAGGAAGGAGGAGGAGGATGGAAAGAAAGGAGGAGAAGGGTGAGAATAATAATAATATTAATAAAAAATAAAAATAAATGTATCAGTGGGGGTTAATTGAAATGAGCATTATTTTTTTTCATCCAGCCTCATATGTGCTTAAGAGGAATTTCCTCATATGTAAGCAAGGACTCCAGATGTAAGGTGGAAAATTTTGAAAAAGGCAAGCCTTATAACAACCACATCAATATTTGCAACCTCTTTCAACAGGAAAAATTAGCAATTATTACATTTCTGGATCCAAAGATCCTTTTGAACCAGAAATCCGGAATCTTGAGTCTTTGCTTACATATTACGAAATTCTTCTTAAGCACACCCCAAGCAAGGCGGGAAGCCACTAGGACGCAAGGGGTTACAGAAAATTTAGAGCAAGATCAGATAGGAGTGATAGAAGAAAGGATGAGGGAGAGGGATAGTGGATAGATCAAGGCAACTGGAGATGTCGATTGACATTACACTTGAATAGCTGGAGATTATAGCTCACAGGGAAACAGGAAAAGGGAAGGGAGTTCCACAGGCGAGAGGTGCGAGACATGAAGCTATTAGAGTAGAAGAGACGGCTACATTTAGGAGTTTCGACAGTGAAGGGGTGAGAGCGGGATGCCAGCCTCGTAGGGCGCTTGAACTCATGACGTCTGGGAACCAGCAAATGCAGCTCCTCGGAGCAATTTCCATGAAAGTATTTGTAGAACAGACAGAGGGAGGCGACGGCACGTCTGTGAGAAAGTGACTGTAGACGAGAGATGCCAGGGCAGGGCCAACCATATTGCATATCCGCCTCTGGAGCCTATCAAGAACCCCGAGGCAAACAGAAGGGGCACCAGACCATATATTGCAGCAATACTCCATGCAAGGGCGAATTGTTGATTTGTAGATCTGGAGGATCGACTCCGGGAGAAAAAAACTTCCTAGCGCGGCTCAGGGAGCCAATTTTCCTTGCAGTGGACGAGGCAATTGACTCAATGTATTTATTCCATCTCAGGTCAGCAGTCAACATGAGACCGAGAAGCCGCAGAGAGTTGCTCTCGAGAAGTTGAGCGTCAGACATTCTAATGGAGGGAAGGGAAGGATCTCTGTGGTGATTAATAGAGAGCAGTTTTGTCTTTGAAGCGTTGAAGTTGACCAGCCAATTCATGCCCCAGTTCACAATCGATTGGAGGTCCTTTTCGAGATGCACGGCCAGGTTAGTTTTGTCAACCAGAGACTAGATTTGTTTTTGAGGCAGGAATAAATTGTGGTGTCATCCGCGTAGATGCCAACTTGAAATTTATTGCGTCAGGAAGGTCATTTATGTAGATAAGGAATAGAGTGGGACCTAGGATGGAGCCTTGAGGAACACCTGCGTTTGTGGGATAGGAACTGGAGGAGAATCCATTGAGAACGACCTTCAATTTACAGTTTGACAGGAATGATCGTATTAGGTTATATAATCAACCTGTAATGCCATAACCCTGGAGCTTGCGCAGAAGGGCCAACATGCCAAACCCTATCAAATGCTTTGGAGATGTCTAGTGCCATTTCTCGGGCTTCCCGTTATTTTGGAGAGCTCCTGTAGACTGTTTCAGTGATGGCCGTAAGCATGTAAATGTAGATCGGGCAAAGCGGAAACCATATTGCTTGTCTGAGAGCAGATTATGGGATGTGAGGTGGTTAACCACCCCGATATTGATTAGGACTT